CAGTATGGTTGTTGAATAACTTAAGAACATCTCTAAACATTATGGTGGGAGTATATCCAATGAACATCATCTAAACATTTATTGGTGGGGGAACATAATGAACATCGTCTAAACATTATGGTGGGGAATAATAATGAAACATCTTCTAAACATTATGGTGGGGAATAAATGAACATCATCTAACATTATGGGTGGGTAATAATATGAACTCATCTAAACAATTATGGTGGGGAATATAATGAACATCTTCTAAACTTATGTGGGACATAATTAAATCACTAAACATTTGGTGGGGAATATAAACATCATCAAAAAAATTATGGTGGGGAAATTAAGCATTTCTAAACATTTGGGGGGGAAATAATGAAAATCTTTAAAAATGGTGGGGAAAAAAATGGGAAATTTAAATTTGGGGGGGAAAAAAAATGAACATCTCTAAAAAAAATGGTGGGGAAATAAAGAAATCTTTTAAACTTTGGTGGGGAAATAATGACTCTTCTAAACTTTTGGGGGGAAAAGAAAATCATCTAAACATATGGGGGGAATTAAGAACTCTTAAAAAATTAGGGGGGAAAATAAGAACTTTCCCAACTTATGGGGGGGAAATAATGAAAAATCATCAAACATTTGGTGGGGGAAAATAATGAACATATCAACATTATGGTGGGGAATATAATGAACATCTCTAAACATTATGGTGGGGAATATAATTGAACATCATCTAAACATTAGGTGGGGAATAAAATGAATCTAAACATTATGGTGGGGAATTAATGAACATCTCTAAACATTATGGTGGGGAATATAATGAACATCTAAACATTATGGTGGGGAATATAATGAACATCTAAACATTATGGTGGGGAATATAATGTGCATCTTATAAAGCCACTGTGGTTGTGCTGGCAGTAGGCTTCTCTGTCAGCATCTTATAAAGCCACGGTGGTTGTGTTGGCAGTAGGCTTCTCTGTCAGCATCTTCTAAAGCCACGGTGGTTGTGTTGGCAGTAGGCTTCTCTGTCAGCATCTTATAAAGCCACTGTGGTTGTGTTGGCAGTAGGCTTCTCTGTCAGCATCTTCTAAAGCTGCCTTTGTCTGTATCTATTTGCAGTTTCTATGTCTATATCTCTCATCTGGGGACAGAATAAAGTCCGATATGTGTCCCAAATGGCACCCTATTCCCTATGTAGTGCACTAATTTTGACCGGGACCTATAGGGTTCAGGTCAAAAGTAGTGCACTGCATAGGGAATAGGGTGCCATTTGGAACGAAACTATGTGTACTACTGGATTAACCCTGGATGACCTGGCTGACAGCTTAGTTTGATAGGAACACAATTTCCATCCAGAGAGCGAGAACAGTCCATACAATGATAACAGTATTTTAGTGACAGACGGAAAGGTTTTAATGCTTGAATAGATTTAAGCCTCCCCTTTTCTGGCCCCTCCACCCCATTCTACCTTTCCTGCCACAGTCTATTTATTTGTATTAGTTTATTTGACAGGGTCCATGTAAAAAAAAAATATTACACCAGATTTTAACTGTATAGCAAATTTTCTAGAACCCACAAGAGCGCAACACCATAATATGCAGAATAATCATATTTGTTTGAGCTTCGTAATGAGTAGATTTCTCATGCACCACATCATACATACAGTATATGTTATTCTCATTAGCTTTGGAAAAGATGACTGTCAAAAGCACAAGAGTTAAAACATACACAGGGTATTTGTCTGAGCTTCTTAATGAGCTTTATGCTACATCTTCATCATCATAAACATCGTAATCTACATCATAAACATCATCTTCATTATCTTTTTCATCATAAACATCATTATAAACATAATCTTCATCATAAACATAATCTTCATCATAAACATCATCTTCATCATAAACATCACAATCTTCATCATCATCATAAACATCATTATAAACATACTCTTCATCATAAACATCTTCATCATCATAAACATCATTATAAACATAATCTTCATCATAAACATCTTCATCATAAACATAATCTTCATCATCTTTATCAAAAACAGGTCGATGCTAAACTGATTATTCATGGAAAAGAATCTTTACATATGACTTCACCTGATAGTTAGTTAGCTGGTTGATTATTGATTGGGATTGTGTTTATTGATTGGTTGGGTGGTTGGTTGCTTGGGAAGAAACATTTGCTTTTCATTTCCGTTGACAGTGGTGATCTGTGCTGTTCACTCAGCCACTGCTTCTATGAAGCCCTATTTTGACCATGAAGAGGATCCATTTATGTTTATGGTGTTTGTACAAGACAGGTTCAGATAGCGAGGGACACACTGGGACGTTTTATCATTGTCCGGAAGGTTTCTATGTGTTTTTCCTTACTGGTTACATTGGAATGTAACTATTCTACAAGCAATATATGGTACAATTTCCGCTACTTCCTCCGCACGCACGCACGCACTTAAGCCTTAAGCCCTGCCTTAGTTTTATACTAAAGGCTGGAGGCCTGAAGATTTCTAGGAGTGCCCCCTTGTCATCCCCCTCCTGTCCTCTGATCCAGTGATCCACCCTGGGGTACTATCCCCTCCTGTCCTCTGATCCAGTGATCCACCCTGGGGTACTATCCCCTCCTGTCCTCTGATCCAGTGATCCACCCTGGGGTACTATCCCCTCCTGTCCTCTGATCCAGTGATCCACCCTGGGGTACTATTCCCTCCTGTCCTGTGATCCAGTGATCCACCCTGGGGTATTATCCCCTCCTGTCCTCTGATCCAGTGATCCACCCTGGGGTACTGTCCCCTCCTGTCCTCTGATCCAGTGATCCACCCTGGGGTATTATCCCCTCCTGTCCTCTGATCCAGTGATCCACCCTGGGGGTACTATCCCCTCCTGTCCTCTGATCCAGTGATCCACCCTGGGGTACTATTCCCTCCTGTCCTGTGATCCAGTGATCCACCCTGGGGTATTATCCCCTCCTGTCCTCTGATCCAGTGATCCACCCTGGGGTACTATTCCCTCCTGTCCTCTGATCCAGTGATCCACCCTGGGGTACTATTCCCTCCTGTCCTCTGATCCAGTGATCCACCCTGGGGTACTATTCCCTCCTGTCCTCTGATCCAGTGATCCACCCTGGGGTACTATCCCCTCCTGTCCTCTGATCCAGTGATCCACCCTGGGGTATTATCCCCTCATGTCCTCTGATCCAGTGATCCACCCTGGGGTACTATCCCCTCCTGTCCTCTGATCCAGTGATCCACCCTGGTGTATTATCCCCTCCTGTCCTCTGATCCAGTGATCCACCCTGGGGTACTATTCCCTCCTGTCCTGTGATCCAGTGATCCACCCTGGGGTATTATCCCCTCATGTCCTCTGATCCAGTGATCCACCCTGGGGTACTATCCCCTCCTGTCCTCTGATCCAGTGATCCACCCTGGTGTATTATCCCCTCCTGTCCTCTGATCCAGTGATCCACCCTGGGGTACTATTCCCTCCTGTCCTGTGATCCAGTGATCCACCCTGGGGTACTATCCCCTCCTGTCCTCTGGTCAGGTGATTTACATTTACATTTACATCATTTAGTGATCCAGCCTTCAGCATGATGCAACAGGAACTGGGATTCATCAGACCAGGAGATGTTTTTCCACTCCTCAATTGTCCAGTGTTGGTGATGGCGTGCCCACTGGAGCCGCTTCTTCTTGTTTTTAACTGATAGGAGTGGAACCCGGTGTGGTCGTCTGCTGCAACCGACGAGTTTTGCGTTCCCGAGATGCCTTTCTACACGCCACTGTTGTACTGCGCTGTTATTTGCCTGTTTGTGGCCCACCTGTTAACTTGCATGACTCTTGCCATTCTCCTTTGACCTCTCATCAATGAGATGTTTTCGCCCACAGGACTGCCGCTGATGGATGTTTTTTTGTTTGTCGCACCATTCTTGATAAACCCTAGACACTGTCGTGTGTGAAAAGCCCAGAAGGGCGGCCGTTTCTGAGATACTGGAACCGGCACGCCTGGCACCGTCGATCATACCACGCTCAATGTCTCTTAGGTCACTCGTTTTGCCCATTCTAACGTTCAATCGAACAGTAACTGAATGCCTCGATGCCTGTCTGCCTGCTTTATATAGCAAGCCACGGCCACGTGACTCACTGTCTGTTAGGAGCGATCCATTTTCATGAACGGGGTTGTGTACCTAATAAACTGGCCACTGAGTGTACGTGTGTGTAAGTTAATGTGTTGGTATGTGAGGGGTGGTAAGGTCGTGAGGGCAGAGCATTAACACCGTTGTCCAGAGTGACTGTGGTGAAAACAACAGGAGCTGATCAACAGGCTACTTTAGTCCACCAACAGCTGTTTAATAGTCACCAGTCATTAGCTAAGACAACTGAGTCCGATAGCTGTTTGTCAAGGTTCTATTTAGAGTGAATCGCTGTCTACACTGAGTAGAAACATTAGGAACACTTTCCTAATATTGAGTTGCACCCCCTTTTTGACCTCAGAACAATTAATCGAGGCAAGGACTCTACAAGGTGTTGAAAGCATTCCACAGGGATGCTGGGCCCATGTTGACTCCAGTGCTTCCCACAGTTGTGTCAAGTTGGCTGGATGTCCTTTGGGTGGTGGACCATTATTGATACGCACGGGAAACTGTTGAGCGTGAAATTTAACAGGTGACATCAATAAGGGATCGTATCGTTCACCTGGATTCACCTGGTCAGTCTATGTCATGGAAAGAGCAGTTGTTCTTAATGTTTTGTCCACTCAGTGTATGTTCTCTAGCCAATCCAATACCATCGTCCAACTCTTCTCTGACTGTTGTCATACAATACGTTACATGTGTCACTTATATGGCAGCTCCCTTGTGGAAATGGATTCAATTACAGACTTGAAAACAACTGAATCCTGAAAGATAATCACATTTGACACTTCACCTGTGCAGTTAACAGGACATGATATCAGGGACCGTTGGTTACTTAAACATGTTTATTAATATGTATTTAACCCTTTCCTCCCCAGAAATACAAAGACATTGAGCCCACGGTGAAGATGGAGGAGGTGGACGGGGAGGAACTGGTGAAGAAGTTTGCTGAGGAGATGGAGGGCATGCTGGGTAGGAAGATGAAGTCCGTGAAGAGACTGGCGGAGGCGGCGGAGGACGCTGATTTATACCATGAGTTCAACGCTACCTTAGAGGTCAGTCACAGTGGAGTCACACCGCCGCGTTCCGTCCTTACAAATACACATTTTAAATGGGTTTATCTTTGCTGTTGTTCAAAGGTAGCCGATAGTCACAGACCGAGTACAGGTGTACATGTAACAAATATGACAACTTTTATTCATTATACATTATGATACACACAACCAAGATCATTACAGCTGTACAAAATATGCAAGGTTGGAAATGTACAGCAGTTACTGACCTTTTGTGATGTGCACTTTCCTCTGTTGTAGTTTGACCTTATCTTTTCCTCTTTGATTTCTCTCTCCTCTTCAGTTTGACCACTGTAACTCTGTGATTTCTCTCTCCTCTTCAGTTTGACCACTGTAACTCTGTGATTTCTCTCTCCTCTTCAGTTTGACTACTGTAACTCTGTGATTTCTCTCTCCTCTTCAGTTTGACTACTATAACTCTATGCTGATCAACTCAGTGGATAATGATGGGAACGCTATAGAGCTGGGAGGAGAGTTTCCTCTGGAAGAGAATGAACACTTCAACAAGCTCCAGGTCAACACTCTGCAGAGCGACATACAGGTCCCCACCAACGTGTACAACAAAGGTCAGCTAGCGGTGGTTCATTTAGCTGCTTTAGGACAATGCCGTTGTTAGTCAACATTATCCAGACAGGGTTGGGTTAGCTCCCTTGTCCAGACAGGGTTGGGTTAGCTCCCTTGTCCAGACAGGGTTGGGTTAGCTCCCTTGTCCAGACAGGGTTGGGTTAGCTCCCTTGTCCAGACAGGGTTGGGTTAGCTCCCTTGTCCAGACAGGGTTGGGTTAGCTCCCTTGTCCAGACAGGGTTGGTTTAGCTCCTTGTCCAGACAGGGTTGGGTTAGCCCCTTGTCCAGACGGGGTTTGGGTTTAAAGCCCCTTGTCCGACAGGGTTTGGGTTAGCTCCCTTGTCCAACAGGGTTGGGTTACCCGTCCTGTTGTCCGAAGGGTTGGTTTTCCCCTTGGGTCCAAGCAAAGGGGGAGGGGTTTTGGGCTACTTTCCCGGGGCTTTGGGTTTCTCCGCCCGGGTTTTTTTGGCCCCTTTTTCGTTTTTGCTTTTTCCCTTTTTTTTATCTCCTTCTTGGGCCTTTTGGGGGGGCCTCGATTTGTTTTCCTCTTCCCGGGGGGGGGTTTTTTCTAAGGGGCCCCCCCCTTTGTTTCCTCTCTCCCTTCTCCTTTTTTCCCCTCCTCTTCCTCCTTCCTCTTTTCTCTCTTCCTTCTCTCTCTCTCTCTCCTCTCCCCCCTCTCCCCTCCCCTCTTTCCCCTTTTCCCTCCCCTCCTATCCTCCTCATCTCCCCTCTCTCCCTCCCCCCCTTTTCTTCTCTCTCTCTCCTTCTCTCTCCTCTCTCTCTCTCCCCTTCCCCCTCCCCCCCTTTTGGTCAACCCTGTTTTCTAAATGGGGTTACAGTCGAGGCCCTGAACGATGTGTTCGTGGATAACTTCCAGAAGGACCCTACTCTAACCTGGCAGTACTTTGGCAGCGCCACTGGCTTCTTCAGACTCTACCCAGGTAACGTCACACTCACATACACGCACGCACACGACCGAGACAGATATGAACACACAGATATGAATCTGACCTTACTCTCACACCACCGGATATCAGGTGTGTTCTCACCCTGACCTTAAATGTTATGACATGCCCCAATACTGTACAGTCACACACACACTAGACAGACAGACAGACAGACAGACAGACAGACAGACATACAGACAGACAGACAGACAGACAGACAGACCTACAGCACAAGTCCAGCTAAGCTAAATCCACAGATCAGCATGTCACACTGCAGGCTGAGCCCAATAGCCTTGCTAGGTTGAACTGACAGCATTCATAATGGAGGGTAGCAGATTAAATAGCTGAGTCTATCAGGTCATTAGCGGTATAGCGTGACTACAAAGCCACCCGTCAGCCCTGGTCAGCCCACCCGTCAGCCCTGGTCAGCCCACCCGTCAGCCCTGGTCAGCCCATCCCGTAAGCCCTGGTCAGCCCACCCGTCAGCCCTGGTCAGCCCACCCGTCAGCCCTGGTCAGCCCATCCCGTCAGCACACCTGTCAGCCCTGGTCAGCCCATCCATCAGTCCTGGTCAGCACATCTGTCAGCCCTGCTGGGCTCTGGGAGGACAGAAGAGCTGTGTGGCTCTGTAGGGCTCAGCACAGGGCTTAGCTAGGGCCTCAGCAGGACCTGGATCTCACACACACACACACACACACACCACACACAAACACACACACACACACACAAACAGATGCACTCACACACGCAAACAAACAAACGAATGCACTCACGCACCCACGAAAATGGATTGGCACACAAACACACACACACAAACACACGTCCTGAGAACTGCACTAAACCTCTCTCTTTGCATAAACAATCTACTCCAATCTTCTCCAATTTTTTTTTACTGATAATTGAACATTGTACAATATTGTGAGTACACACAATGCATTTGCAATAAACCATTTACACAGGCATCGCATGGACCCCAGATGAGAATGGTGTAGTCACGTTCGACTGCAGGAACAGAAACTGGTGAGTTCCTATAACTGCGTCCCAAATGGCACCCTATTCCCTAGATAGGTCCTGTTCAAAAGTAGTGCACTATATAGGGAATAGGGTGCAATTTGGGGCGCAGCGCAGCCCGTGTCTGTCTCCCACTCCCGTGTCTGTCTGCCTGTCTGTCTGTCTGCCTGTCTGTCTTCCTGTCTGTCTTCCTGCTGTGAGAGCCTTTTGTTGGGAGGAAAGAGGAAGGGATCTGGAAGTGTGTCCCTGTGTGAGCCTGTAGTAAAGAGGAATTCATGAGGAAGTGATCTGTTAGATTCCCTGAACCAGCAGTTCCTTGGCAATCTAGTTACACTAATCTGTTATTTCGTTGACTGGCCGTCTGTCCTTACTGACCTTGGTCTGCAGAGAATTACAACCCCCACGCTGCTGCCGCCTGATAGGCTGGCTATTACCATCCCTGGGTCTGGTGGACACGGCAACCTGAGCAGCAGGTTCTATGGGAAAAAACAAGTGCCCGGGTCAAGGGGTATCGATTGAGGAGTGACTTGTGATCTGTCCTGTACGTTTTGACAGCATAGATTAGGTCCATATGGTGTAACTAAATGAAGCGCGGAACAGAGGTGATTTGGAATCACACTCTCCTGATGAGGTGTAGCCCTGGCTGAGTAACTAGGATTGGAAACGTCTGGTAGCTTTCACTAATTCCCCAGGTTTTCCAGGAATCCCAGTTGTGGAGTTCTCAGTTTTCCTGCTTATTCACACTGAGGGTGTCTTGATGTCGAAACCTTTGTTTTGTTTTTTTCACACTTTTGTTTATGTACTTTTCTGCACAATGCACTTTTTTGGGCATCATAATGTCCCAATAAACCTTCTACTTTTTATTTAACCCGTTTTGAGGATTTCTCGTGTTCATCTTTTATACTCCCGTTATATACCTTGGAAAAGGTAACAAGACGTTTGGTGTAAAGGCTTTAAAACCCTTTTTTGCGGTGGGGTATCGGGTCATACAGAGTGTTTTGGTATTTAAAAAAAAAGCTTTGAAACAAAATATACATTAAACACATGGTTAGTGCTTTAAAAAAAAAAAAAAAAAAAAAGGAAGAAACACTTTAAACAACAGAATAGAAATTAAAAAATGTTAAATTCCCATTTGGGAATTTTTTTAAATTTTTTTTAAAAATTTAAAAGTTAAAAAAAAAATGAAAATAACCCAA